TTACTAGTTTTTCTAGATTACTATTAACAAAATGTCTAAAGATATCATTTTAAACCATTTTTTTTTTTTGCCAAGTTGTCTGCTATGTGCAGACAGCAGTGGTTCTCGAGTTAGGTGTCTTTTTAATGCCTGAACTATTTTTTGCTTTAGTCGTTTAAGTGACTTAAATAACTATTCAAATTATTTTGAACGTCAGTCAGCTAAAAGGACTGTACTAAAAACGTCACTGAAAAAGACAAAAAAAAAAAAAGACAGCCACTGTCCAAAGAAGAAACACTTGCAGAAAAACCTCAAGACCTGTTGCTGAAGACCAGTAAAAAACAAACAAAAAAAAACAAAACACACACACACACACACACACACACACACACACACACACACACACACACAAAAGAAACAAAATAGAAAAAAATAGAAAAAATAGTCTGGCTACCTGCAAAGAAAATATAAAGAAATGAAAGTGACTGTTGCACAGCACTACAGACAATAAGAAAATAATGTGCAAGGGTAGGAGCAGAAAAATAAATATAACCTTTTAAAATGTTCTAGTGGAATAAGTGAATAAAATAAAAGTAAAATAAAAACTAAAATTAATACAAATGAATAGCTTCACTTTTATTGTAGTATATTCCCTTTGTAGGCAGCAAAGTATTAATCAGTTTTTCTAAGCTTGATGTGAATAAGTCACAGCTAATGTTACAATGACCTGATATAATTACTGTGTTTAAATGTAATCACAGAGCGGGCAATCTTTGCAGCAGAGCCTTGTGAATAAATATAATCCAACGCTGCTCCCTTCTCTTTGCCAGAGATGATCGTTCTCTTTCATACAAATACTGTGTGGAGTAAGAACAATCACCTGTGATAAACTTCAACACACAAAGAATAAAACACCTTTAAGGTGGGTGGAGAAGCATGCATATAAACAAATTTTATGATTAATTATTTCAGAAATATTTATTTTTCCCCGACACGTATCGAGTATGTTCTCTCATATGTGATGTGTACTTAAAGGCTTAGGGATCAGCGTCATCCTTGAAAGCTGAGATAATAATAATCATATTGATCTACGTCCATGACACTTGTGTTCAAATATATGTGACATTTCCATGCTGTGACCTGGCCCAAAGGTCTGAACCACCAACAAAGAAGTGACAAAGGAAAATTCAAGCATTGCATGGTTGTGCCAAAGGGAAAATGCCCGCTTATCAGAAACTCAAATAGAGCTGTATTTGTAAACTCACCTTCTCAATGTCCTCTAAAGTCTTGTAGTACTTTGCTTCAGTTTCCTGAATCTCCACTAAGCAGCAGTTTCTCTTGTCATCTTCTGTCATACCCATTTTCTGCAGTGAGAATCAGATAAAATAATCAGTGACGACGATCACTTTGAACAGTTATATACTGCTAATTGTTTCAGTGATTATTTTTTTATATGTTACTAAGAATACATTAAAGGCTAAAATAACAGGGTCAGCATCACTAGTTTGCAATTTAAAGGACCACACAATGCTTTGATGTTTCCATCAAACTCTGCAACACTTTATTTCAACCTGTACTTGAATTTTTTTTTTAGAAATTTTTGTATAACACTACTTCTATAAGAGCTGACTGTTGTTTTTATGAATTCCCAACTGTATGAAAAGCAGACTTATGACAAAGTGTTTGTGTCGTGTAATCCATCAAGGCCGTCGACTTGCGTTATCAGCAAGAGATAATGCAGTGCAGTCTTCCAATACAGTCACTTTTAGTCAATTTGCATGTAAACTCCTTTACTCTGCAAACATAATGAAATACTGACAAAATGAATTTAGACTTCATCTGACAGTTTACACAACTTATAGTCAGCTGTGCTTTCCTTTGCCAGGATGATCCACCCTTCATCATCAACATCTTTTTTTATGTAGCCTATGATTTTTCCACACTTAAGAAATTTTTTAAAAGCTGAGACATTAGGAACAAATCTAACCCCCCCCCCCAAAAAAAAATCTAACCCCCAATTATTGTTGTTTTTCTGTTAAAACAAGCAGAAATAAATGTAAAATTAGACATGTTTTGATACATGCTCGATAATCCAGAGAAGTGATTCTGTTCAACTGCAGGCAGCTGAACAGAGTTTTCCCCACAGGTTTACAAACAGTGGTTACGTAACTATTGTTCATAGGGTTGGGAAAACCTGCAGTCAGCTGAGACTGGATGCGTGATGAAACGTTTCTCCCACTGAAAGCTATACATCCAGATGAACAGAATCATCCTTCTGGGAATGATTTTTTAAAATGTATCTGATTATGTCAAAGATAAATTTCTAAATATTTAGCACAGCTGGTGCCATGGCTAGAGATGGTGATGACACTGGCTATGACAGAAGGATGCAAAATAATGAGCTTTTGAGCGTCACTGTATGTGTGGGTTAGCTGGTTTAAGAAGACGTGTAAAGAAATGTACATGAATCCAACGTTGTCAAGGCAAAACAATGCAAGCAGGCATGCTGTGATGGAGCCAGGTTAAAATGTGAAAAAGAGTCAAACTTCTACAGAGGGCCTGATGTCTCCATCTTCAAATGTGTATGTATGTGCATGCTTTGTTGAAAGAACAGTATACTGTAAGTGAGAAACCCTGTTGATCATGGCGAAACACACCCACACACATAGGCTTTGTTTCCATAGATTTTCCTTTTTTATGTTGTAGTATGATTATGAGCACCCTGAGGAATTAATAGCTAAGCCATCTGGAGTAGATCTGGCTGTTGATAACCAGTGCTGGTAATACGAAAACTGGCACTAACAATGCAAAAATACAAGTCCAGGCCTTAGGCCAGCACAGGATCAACCAATCCGAGAAGTAGGGTTCAAAGCCAGCAGCATATTGTTTATTTGCTTTAGTGTGGCAGCTGGCGATGCTAGCTGAAGTCAGCACTGCAGTTACAGAGCTGAAGTCACTAGCTCTGAGTCAGACTGAACCAGATGGGGTATCGTTCACCATCGGTCCAACGGTCAGTAACTTAATTGGCAGATCTTTCTCTTGGGATGCTAGGAGTTGGTTTTAAATAAGGTGGTGGAGGGAATTTGCTGACAGGGTGTTGTGAGTCACAAGCACAGTGGCACTCACCTGCATGTATCTGATCTGCAGCATGAGAAAAGCAGAGCAAGTCAGAAGTAAAGATTTGTCACTGATTATGAAAGAGACATCTGCTACAGTTGAGTTTAGAGACACGATGTCATGCAGATACCGTACGACAATGACAAGGCCGACCACAGAAATAATCTAAAGCTAGTTAAAAGTGAGTGGGGGTGTTTCCTCTGGCACTATTAGTTCATTGCATTCCTGTAATGCAATTCGTTATGGTAAAATGAAATCATGCAAAAGAAAATTCTTCCAAAGAGTGGGGAGAGTTGCAGTGATTTAGTCATAGACCGTCACGTAGCACATTTGTACGGTATATTAAAAAACAACAACAAAAAAACGCAATCAGTAATTGTGAAAAGAAAACAAGTCCTTAATGATCAAACAGGAGTTCTCACCATGGGTTGTCGTACTTCCACTTTAATGATGTCCTCATAGATGTCGTCCCCATCATCCTCGCATGGCACACAGTCATAGATGTCATCCTCACCCAAGTCATGTTCACTGGGGGAAAACACATGCACTTTAGATGAAAAAGTCCATCTAACCACCAACCTTCAAAACCAAATGATAAAAGGTCTTTTCTCACACCTCCACGTCAAACTTCTTTGAGTGCACAGACCAGGTGAACTAGCTTGTTATCCTTAACAAGCCCTGCCTGAAGGATACTAGTGATCTAGGCAAGGGAACACAGAACCTGGTGTTCACAAAGCTCCAATAAGTTATGAAGTGGCATCTCTCTTTAATGTATTTATGTTGTTTTGGCACCCAGCTAGCTCACTGACCTTTAATTAGGCAAGCAGCCAGCAGAGCACCGACAGTTACTGTGGAGAGGAGGATCTCCTGGGAAAGATTCTCATGCTCTGTGAGCCAAAACTGTGTCTCCCCCTGCTCCGTATAAGCAATTATTGTTTGGGAAACTTATTGAGGCGGCAGGGATCCCGCAGCAGGAACACACTTTGGCAAAGGGCCCATCTCGATGCAGTTAATAAGAAGGGAGCTTTAAGTCGCAAAAGGGAAATAAATGATTAAATACTGTAAATAAATAAAGAGAGTTGCCTGCTAAATAACAGAGGGCAACTGTTTGAACTTGCTCGCTTGTTTAAACAAAATTCCATTTACCTAGGCTGTATTCAAACACAGGGAGCGTAATGTTCTTGTATTACAATAAGTTGCCATAGATTCAGCCAACTTCAGTGATGAAGCCCTTTCTTTTATAATTAGTTTAGAGCATGATGAATAAGCTGTTAATTACTGTACTTGGTTCTGAAGGGTGCTTTGATCGTGATTTCTAAACAAATATATGGACATTTATTCATGGTGAACATGGGAAATATCATATGCATCTAAAAATATGTCTGTGTTATTAACTTTAATGGTGGTCTGACTCCCAAAAGGGATGCAAATTTAGTCACTAAAGGAAAAAAAATGATCTTAATTGCTTCCACGCTCTGTGCTGAACTCCAGTTTCTGTGAGGGTTGACAACCAAGACACACAAATGTACCATCCACCTCCATCTTTTGTTATAGTTCCCAACATTCGCTGCCCTGAAATCTTCGGGAAAAGGACGCCTAAGGTTGAGGCTCAGTGAGCATCCGCTCTTTTTGAATGTCCTTGAGCAGAACACCAGCTCAGGGGATGCTGTTTTGTACTCTGACCTCTCTGAGTGAGAACAAGAAAGAAGAGGGTTTGCTCTTCTTGGATGAATGCTGCATCCTCCAAATGGATGTGCATGTGATCCCTAGCACATAAACCTGCCTGTTTGTGCATTCTTGAAGCACAAACCTCACTGCAGTCTGGCTAATGGGGGCCATAACCCAGCTGCCGTTATACCAAAACAACCAGATCCAGACCACAAAATCCTAATTCCCCTTTAAGATCACTGAAATTGGTTATTTTGTTGAGCTTTCATAAGATTTATTAATTCATGCATATTTGAAAACAAGATTTTGTAGCACAGGTCTACAAAAAAAAAAGAAAAAAGAAAGAAATCTTGTTTGTAGGTTGGTGGATTCCATCCACTGTGATGTGACCTTCTACACATGCCATCAAGGCAGTGGCATCCCTGCTTTCACTGCTGTCAGGGGAGGAAAAAAAAGCGAAGTGAGAGAAATGCCCTCAATCAAATATGCAGCTTTACCGTAATGCTGGTGCTCAGGTGCGTTTGAAGTTTTAATTGAGGTGACTTGGTTCACTATCAGCACTGCGTTCCATCTTTCTTCATTAAGTAAAAGTGTCTCATGTTGAATACTGAGAAGGCTGCGTGGGAGGACAATGGCCACCTGATGCTGTCCCTTCAGTATCTCCTCTCTGAACTTTGAGACTACAGCACTCTCCGCAGACACAGATGAGCGCCATGACAGAAAGGCACTTTGGAAAGCAGGTAATTCACATATTTTTTTGTTTAATTCCTCAGACAGAGCTTTATATGAGGGAGGTTTGGTGCAGTGACATGAATGTTGCCTGTTAAGAGAGCGAATAGGAAGTTTGTAATATCTAGTTCGTTTTTATCTATTAGAGAAAGCTTGGCTCACTGGAACATTTGTTAACATCTGTTAGCTTCTTCATCTCTCTTAGTTATTCAGTTTGTCACTGATCTTTTTTAGCAAGTAAGTTCAAAATGTATGCATGTTCTTATTAATGATTAATGAGTAATTACTGCATTATACTGATGAACCAGATGCGTAACTGATTATGAAAGCCAAACTTTTCCTCTTTCTTATTTCGATCCATATTCAAAACATCATGCCAAGTTTTACTAATATGTGTTTTACTTATATGCCAACAGATATACAATATTTTATCTTGCTTGCATTTAGACAACCAATATTCATTATGATATTTTCCTTGTTGATTATAACAGATTGTTGCAAAATAGCATTGAGACAACATTGGAAAGGAGGTGTTTTACAACCGTTGTCATATCATTAATGTTAAAGCAAGTAACAAGTAAAGTAAATAGCAATCATTACCACACTGCTGAGCATTTTTCTGCTGGGAAATTTTGGGTCCTGGAATTTGTATGTATTTTCCTTTCGAAATGCACCACCCACTGACATTGTTCAAGAACAAGCACATCCCCTGGGGGAGGATGCTGCTATAAAGGTTTTACTAGCACAGGACACCACAAATACCTCCTCAGAACTGCTTGAGGAACACAACGAAACAGCCCAAGGCATTGATCCAGCCTCCAATCTCTGCAAATCTTAATGCAATTGAGAGGACTGGGGGGTACAATCCTGAGCCACAGAGGTCCTGCCTGACAAGACGCAAGACGTCAAGCACTGGCTGCAAACGTCCAGGTGGGACCGTCTGTGCTGTTCTGGTCCAATATAAGCAATATACCCACCCAGCAGATGGTTTTAATGATGTGGCTGTTCAACATAGTATGTGTAGTCAATCAAATCTGTGTGTGTATACACTGTGGGTATGTGTGTGTGTACACACACTGTTAGAAAGGGAGAGAGCAAGAAAACAGTAAGATCTTTCTATCCAGTTTAGTAAGTCACATGAGAATTATACAGCTTATTTCTTTATACTAATAAAAATTGCATTTATGTGCATGTGCACATGTGTAACCATCACAGTGAATGATTAAGGAATGGAAGTAGAGGACCTAAGGACTAACAAATTGGGTGTGATTTTCTCTCTGATTACACAGTGACAGGCTAAAGGCTGTCTAGTGTGCTTGCATGCAATTGGCCTGCTGTAATGTGCTTCCGGCCTTCAATGACATAGAGTTAACATGGGGGTAGTAGAATGTGACTCATCATATCTGAGCTACTGAGCACATGTCTCTGAAGGCTTGGCTGCTTTGTGTATTTTTATTTAAATTTCAAAAGTTGTTTTTCTTTGTTACTGCTTCAATATTCTGCCCCAGCTCTGACCCTCCACACTGTAGCTACTAAACTGCATTTGTGCAGTTCAAAATCAGAATAAATGGGGCAGTAGTTTAGCTCACTGGGATGTGGGAAAAAAAACCCTGTGGGATTGGCACATATACCACAGAGGAGAGCACAGATATTGGGGCAAGGTACTATAAATGGAACCTGGAGCTTTCCTTAAGGTTTAGGGCCACAAATGTGCCTCGCTGTAGAACATTCACCGCATTTTGATAATGTGCACATGAGCAGGGAAGGTTTCACTACACTGCATAAAATACTGCATCATGGGGACACTAATATACTTTGGAAATGTATAGAAAGAAATCTTGGCTATATATAAAACATTAGTTTGATGGAAAAAACTGGGAAAGCACCTGATATCAACACCCTCGGGCACAGATTCTGATAACCTTAGAGGAATCAATACTGTACTATTTCCAAAAAGGCAGCAATGCATATGACATCATTAATAGCACAGTTTCTCTCCTTGATTGTAAAGATTAAAAGATGATAAATACTATTACTATGTAATACCAGTCATTTAGAGGCATGATGCTACTTAATACCTTGCATTAAGAAAAAGAAAGAAAAACAAACAAACCTTAACTGAGCTCACTTCATGTTATTGACTTTTCATGTCAACCTGCCTGAGGGATTAATGGAGCAAAATAAAATGCAAAAGAGTGACACAAAAGGTTTGTGACAGTGCATGCTTCGGAATGGAAATCTATGTGTTCCTTTCGCAGAGCAAGAGTCCCTTGGCGACTGTGCCCGATCCACCCTGATTTCATGGTTTGTCAATTCCAGGATGGAGTCATTCCAGATGGGAAGAACTCTCAGCTAAACGATGTGAGGACTTGACTTGAGAAGGCCAGAGGGGAGAGGCACAAAGTTTAACATATTAACCTGTGAGACCTCAATTAGGATGAAGGCTGACCTCTATCTGAGTCATACAGTATACTTGTGGAAACAGATACAGTCCAGCAGAATGCCAAATCATCATATACAAATAAACCATAAGTGCACCTATCAGGGAATCTCCATTCCATTCATTTGCACTGAACATTTCTGGGTTAGCCCATAATGACTGCTTAAAGTATCATTTGACATTCTTCCGCCATAATATTGTAATTATGGAAATCTTCTTGCGACAAACCGTCACATGCCTAAAATGACACATGCAATTTTCAGGTAATCGAGAAGTGGGCATCACATGTCTTGCCGCCTCACTCTACTCCAGCAGCGCCCATCAAGCAGTATTTGTGGGGGTGATAATGTGCCTGATGTGAGCTCTCTCTCTCCTTGTGTGTTATGTGTAAAAAAGGGTAACTTGACCGCTGTGACGTGACGACGTCTGCAATTCATGAGTAAAAACAACTTCAGCCAAGCAGACACGAGCTCTTTTTCATGCTCACTGCGTTCAGGAGAGACTCTATCACCTGCAAAAGCTTTGACAATTGTGAATTAGGAAAAAAACATTAAACACAATCGCTGAACTTCACCAAGTCATAAAAGGTTGATTTCATTCCCACATGAGCGGCCAGAGCAGCCGTTTCATCTCAGCCGACATAATGTCAGTTTTTAAAACTCAAGTCAAAATCCATTTTTACAGACATCGGTCAAACGCGGTTAGCACCCACCAAACTTAATGATGCAGTTCTATTGATTTATATTGTTTGCTGTATTATTTCTGTTTTACTTTTCCCACACAGCTTTTCTTTTCCACACTTAATATTTTTGGTGACAATATTGCAGTATTATTTCCTACATGCTGTTGTTTTTATGACACCATATGTCCTGCCATTGCACTATTTTCCTCCACTGGGATGCTTGTTGCACAGAATAGTTTTACATCCATAAAAATTATTACTGCGGGAGGATTATCGCTGTCCTCTCTCTCACTCTCGCAGTTCAGTCACGCACCCGTCGTAAATTACGTGCGCATCAATATTTCAGACTAATTAATAAGCCTCTGAGAGCAGGGTTATTGCTAGCGTGGCCTATGTGCTACTGTGTCCAACTGTATTAAGTGAAGGACATGCTGATGAATCAATTATGCTTGTGTCCATTGGTGAAACTAAATGCATAGATGTTCAGTGGAAAAGGTCAAGAGCAGCTGCACTAGAGAGCAGCATGATTAATTTAATAAGACCCAGCCCTCTGGACCTACAGGTTACACAAAGAGCAAAGTGTTACAACACCACTGACCATTTCAGGAAAAAGAAAAGATTAACTCAACCTGCTGCCATGGTTACAGAGGCTAAAACCCATCAGTGGAGAAAGGACATTTTGGAGGTTAAAAGTTAGAGGCAAGACACTAGTGCAGTCGATAAGTGTCATAATGGAACGCCTGTGACTGTTTGCTGTGCTGGGCTATTGTTGCTACTGAGGTACACACTGACTAAAACCAGCGCATCTTTCAGCAACCTGGACAGTGCACACCACTGTCATTTTTCAGGTGTATTTAGAACCACGGTAAACACAGGGAGCATTGAATAAGATTGACTTTTTTTTTTTATTATACACACACACAAAAAAATTGTTTCATGGGTTTCATGGCATTACTCCACAAGTTTTCAAATTCTCTGGTTAAAAATCATGCGGTATCCAGATTAACCTCAGGAGTTCTTAGGTAGGCTCCAAACATGATTTATAAGTTGTCCTCCCACACACAGAATTGAAGTTTATAAAGAAGAATGTGCAGAGAGAAACGCACCAACCTCGCTCACGCTACACACCATGAATACAGAGACTGGAGGGAGGCAAGCCCACAAAGTGGATAAACTGAAACAAGACAGGCTCAATATAACAGTTCAGACAGTCTGACGGAGTTTTTCCTGCTGTTTTCTATTTAAATAAATGTTTATTGATATATAAAATTTACTGTTCACAAAAATCATACCCAATTATTGATTTGCAATTAGATTTGCAGGGATCCTAATGATAATGTTAGGTGTTAGAAATAGCTGCTGCCATGCATAATGGTCTCTTTTCCTGCTGCAAGCTGTTGCACTTTGTTGGCTGTCATTTGTAATCCAACTTTTTCTTTTTTCTTTTTTTTTTCCTTTTATCTCTGCCATTGTTCTTTGCTCTGTACTAGATAAGGAGTACAATTTGTGTGCCAATCTGCGAGCACACCGTGTTATTTTTAGAAAGCCTGCATCCACGCTGTCCTTTTCACCTCACGCCATATCTGTGCACCTTGGCTCTCCCTCTGTGTCTCACTACTTGAAAACCCCTTCTCTAAATAAATGGAAAACAAAAAAAGGAAAGCAGCCTCTCACTATGCTCTTTTTCTTTTCTTTTTTTTCCCTTTAGTTTATGTTCCATGGTAAAAGCCCATGTTCCAAGTTTTCAGGGCTTCATATCTGGAATTAAATCCATTACTAGCCTTTTTGGCTAGCCCTGCTCTTCTGGTGCATGAGAAGATGCTAAAGGATGATTATGTATTCAGCGAGCATATATCTATAGCTCGCATGCTCGCCTTTCTATAACTCGCTCTCCTCCCTCCTATCTATCTATGATAAATGACACCATTCTCAAAGCCTTTAACTAATTATTTTCCATTAATCCGAGTCAAGCGGCTGCTGTCATCGCTGCCAACTCTGAGCGCATCTTTCACAGACAGAAAAACCCACCAACCCACCTAATATGCACCAAACCAGGCAACCCGTTACAGAAGGAGGTATAGAGGCAGCTAAACCTGGAGTGATGCTGGTGTTACTGTGGCAACAGGAAGAGTGGCAGAAGGCTCTATGCGTGTGTAATTAAGCAGTTAGAGGAAATTGGCAGAAGTGACAATCACAGTTCACTTTTAAACTTCGCGAGGTGCGTCACAACCGACAGGTAGAGAACTGTTACATAGTCAGATGCTTTTTTTTTTTGTATAACTGGTGGTTCATGTGAGCCTATTCAGATTAGAAAAAACAATGTAAAACTATACATAAAAATGGGGGTAAAGAACAAATGAAAAACAACCATATGCTGTATATCACTCATACTTTAGTCGATGCAGAAAAAGCTGTTGTTTGTATATTATTTATCTGTTGCAACATAAAATTATAATGAAAAAACTTTATACTTTATAACTTTATAAATCGGAATATTTTGAAACAAAGCCTAAAATTTTTTAAAGAACCTGGCATCGCTATACAAATATATGTGCATATAAATATGCAAAACTTGTGGGCCCAGGGTAAAACTTTTGGCACTGTGGCCATTTCATAAGTGCGAAACATTTCACCTCCCACATCCAACTTTATAATCAATGATTAGCAATTAAAAAGGGTCAACATTTAAGTGCATCAGTCTTTTGTGTTAATCTTTGCCACAAAAATCTAAATTACAGAACTCAGTTTCAGTCTACATTTCCCCCTGGTTGTCCATGTCCTACTCTTTATGTAGGACACCCTCGACTGAGTTAGCGTTTGCTAGGATATATGGTGTTCATGGGTACATTTAGGGTTAGGAAAAGTCTTCGGAGAAATAACACAAAGTCCCCCTAGGTGATGAAAAACAGTTTGTGGTGAAAAGAAGACTTACTCTGCCAACTCCTCCAGGCTCCGGTACACATCATCCTCATTCTCAGCAGTATCCTCCGATGGAAAAGGTCTGGCACACACGCACACACACATATGCAGACACACAAAAAAAAACAAACAAAAAACAGAGAGTGAGACAGAGTACAAAATGCTTTATCACTGCAACAGCTCAGTGTTCCAGGTAGAAAAATAACTAGTCAGAAACGTCATGTTACATCTGTCAGGTTGCCACTCTTTGCTCCATCATTTCAACAGCACAGGGGCAGAATCTATTCAACAGAGGACCCCATCAGTCACAAACAACATTGTCAAAACACATCAACATACTGCTACTGGCTGATAAAAAAAGAAAAAAAAAATCTGCCATCTTCCACCAGCCAACCTTCTCAGGAATTCAGGAAGGAATACACTATTTTTTCTTCAGATGGCTAGGCAGGTGGCTCATATATCCTCTCACAGGGTTTTTGGACAGCTTGTCAAGGACCCTCAGGGGCAATGTAAGGGACTGACTATGAAATACAAAAAATGACCAACCTGAATGCAACCTTCACTGCTTACACGAATCAACTGATCCTATGCTGAAATTTCCCTTTCCTGCAAACACTGTCAACAAACAATCCTCCAAAGGAGTAGCAGAGCATAGAAGTGGAAGATTAATCAACTAAATCAATAAACAGCATATATTTATCTCCAAGATTTCTGCCAACTTTACTCTCAAATGCATGATCAGTGTAGATCTCAAACGACCAACGCTGTTAAATATCCTTTTTTACCAAGAGCAGATTGTGACTGCTGCAGATTATAGCCTATTAGCTTAATGCTGTGCACAACTGAAACCCATTAAAGTCACTGAGGTCATGATCAGTGCTAATCATCAAAACACAAATGGCAGAGAAACGGTTTGTGTATTATTACTACACACACTCTATACCCTAGGACAAACAGTAAACCTTATGTAAGTCTCCAAATCCATAACACTCACGTTGTTTTACAGCTTACACAAATACTACAATTATTATCATTATTTTAATACAATGATAACAGCTTTTAGAAAAGTAAAGCATGGTTTCTTTTTTGGTTTCCCAGAAAAAGCAGAGCACCAGAATTGGACCTTGAACCTCCATTTTATGCCACTGTAAGTGATTTCACTTGCAAGGTATCACATTTTAGTTTCAGGTGAATCGCATGTTATTCCTCTTTCAACATTAAAGCCGTTCATATGTGGTGATGAGGTATTGTTGTACAATTATGAGGCAATAAGCCTCACTTCTCTGTTTGCCTTTTTTAAAACACTGAGAGTAGAATTAAAGCAGTTAACTCTACTGACATTTATTAAGTCATTTTCAGTTCACTTAACTTAATTTTTAATTCTCTAACTGCTGCATCATTTCCCAAATCTGGGATCAAGTATTTCTCAGCTCGTCGTAAATGAACAAATAAAGTGGTGGTTATTTTCATGTGGGAGAATTTAGGAATCAGAGTAGAGCACAAAAGGGACAGCAAATGAAAAAGATGTCACTGTCAAGACTGAGAAGTGAGCTGGAAGCTGATGTGGACTCTTCAGTGATGATACAAGACAAGACCTTCAAAGCTCTCACAAAAGCCCTCTCCTCTCCGTTAGCGCACAGCTTTGAAATCCTTTGACTACGTTTAATCCTATGATATGATCAGAAGAGTGAGACTCAGTTCCATGCCCTCCTAAAAAGCCAACTGAAGTGGACTGCGTCTCTGTAAAGCTGTGTGTATGTGTGACACCAGTAATTAGCCTTTGTGTAATTAGAACGTGTCAGCCATCAGGGTAATGAATGCTCAGCTAGACAGTCAAAGGTCAACTAACACACACGCACAATACTGCATGAGCCGCTTTGGTTTATTTATTCTGCTAACTGTTCCATGCTTAAGTGCTGTAACTTTATTAAAACGCATATTTTCAAAAGACAATTACAAGTACTACTAACACAAAAAACTGCCTCATCTGATTTATGTTACCTTCTCGCTAACTGTTATGAAGCACACAGGGCGCTTTCTCCGGAGTGCAATAACACACCCACATCTGAAGGCCCCCTCCAATGAAATGTGCATTATATTATAAGTTATTAATGGAGTCCCGCAGGGCAAAATTTAATTACATAGTAGTTTGTGGAGATATGCACTCGTATCTATCACCTCTGTGTTGTTTTGCGGAGCCAAGCTCTGTCCGGTGCTGCTGTTTTCATTTCTCTTAATGGTGCAACGAGGTACAATTGAACTATGTTCATAATTTCATCAGTACACCTCTGATGAGCTGTCTCTTGGCTATTCAGTGCTAGAAGGGAAGGGGGGGGGGGGTCGATTACATGCACGGTTTCCAACTTTCATGCTTTAGGAGTGCGACACCTGCTTTCAGTCTTTGTCTCGCCTTCTCAAGCTGCTCAAACTAATCTCATTGCAAATAAAGCGAAGCCTCGGAGCGCATCCCTGGTGAAGAAAACTGCTACATGTTAAACAGAGGTTTCAGAGGGGGAAGACTGAAACAATTCAGCACCAACTGGTCTCCAGACTTCATAGAAAATGGTTAGTCGAAGAGCACATTACCTTTGGAAAATGATTACAATTTCATGTCACTGACTCTTGCATCATTCACCTCATTTCACTGTTTTACTCCAAAATGTAAAAATGCAATGGACACCACATTAATGGGAGCTGGTGAATGATTTGTGTTTAGAAAATGTTAAAGATTTGTTTTTTGCTTGCAGATATATTTTTAATTTTAGTTTTGCCTGTGAATGCATCACATATCTGCAGGAGTCTAATCATTAGTTAGTGGCCATCCACACTGAGTCGTGAGCTTCATCACAGCTGTCCAGATATTTTTCATTTTACTTCATTTTTTTGTTGTTATCCAAAAAGAAAATAGAAGAAGAAACCTTACAGCAGTAAGACCTGGGGTCCCTGCATGCAATGTTTCTCCTGGAAGAAATTCATTATTAAGCATACATATATATGATGAAAAGATGTATCAAATGTAGAATTTAGATATATATATATATATATAAATTTACAAATTTATTAGACCATCACCCAACGTAACATTTATGTCACAGCTGCACTAAATTTACAGTTTAAGTAATTACAAAAAACATATTATATGTTTCTTTAATGGTTAACCCACCAGTATCTGCAACCTCTTTAACCCAAATGTATCTATAAAGCTAAAATATAATTATTGTTGTTACCCATGAAGTTACTGTTAAAGCACTTTATGTTTGTTTGTTTTGTTTTTTTTACAGTTTTGCATCCCTGAACAGAAAAATTAGTCTTAATGCTTTTATGTTATGCTTGATTCATTTTTGACTTCTCAGTGTGCCGACTCAAATTTGGGTATAAAAACACAAATTCAGTTCAGTAACTGCTGCAAGTTTTGGTTTTAAATACATTTTTCCCAGAGTTCTAAAATATCTGTGTTGTGTGTGTTGTTGTTTTAATTTGAATAAGAGGTGCTCTAATAAATTTGTTAAGCACTGTATACTATATGTTTTTTTGTATTTATATTTTTTCTCATTTAAAAGTACTTTGAAAAGAGACTAAAAGAGATTCAGCATTTTTGTAATTGTAGCCATGTATAACCAATGAATTTGGTGTCTTTATGTGTTTTTGCCTACTTTTAACCATTGAGGTATTTCTTTTTTATTTATTTGAATGCTTTTTTACTTTAATTCATAGCAGGTGAATGACGAATTGGATGATTCAACTTTTAAATATAGTCGCTTTTGTTATTTGATTTGAAACATCCCATGGTCAAACCACAAGAGGTAAAAAATCTCTCTAAGCACAGATAAAGCATTGTTTTGCTTTGGTTTTTTGTTTTTCTTACTTAACAATTTTCATAAATCAGAGTTCTCATCTTACACATTGCAGCTCTTCTTCCTTTCTCACTGAATTACATTACTGTAATGAACCCCAATGTCTTTGTGATCATGTCTAATTTATTCCACACTCTTCTGGTGTAATGGGAACTGTTAGTGCAGGTGTCCTGTACAAATCCGCAATGAGCCAGTCCCATTGATCCATTATTGTCAAACAGCAGAACAACAGTGTAGATGTTGTGTGTGAAAGCAGCTCAAATGGTCAGCAATGGAAGCAGTTTCATGTCCCAGGACACGGCTTCATTTCTGCAGGGGTCGATAAATCGCTGGAGCTCCAGCAAGCTTCCGCACTTTGCTACTTATTGTACCATGCTTGTCTATAAATCTCCCCATTCTCCCTGAAAACCCACTGCTACAGTTTCATTTCCTGGGGAGGGGCAGTGTGTGCAATCAGCATTGAATAGGAGGGTTTTTTTCCTTTTTTTTCTGCAGAGTTGGATTCACAGCGCTTACAGAGAAATTAGCACATGCAGTACAGTCAAATGGTATATAAGAAAAACAGAAACGGGCATGCAACATGATGACTGTGTACTAATAAGCGTGATGTTCAGTGGTGTAAAGGGGCACAAAATAAACACAGAAAGACATACAAAGTGTGTTTTACTATTCCTTATATCCTAAATAACAATAGATAAGTTCATAAACTAATACATATGTCAACAGGCAGATTTTGTTACTTTTAGACAGATGCAAGAACTTCCTGCTTCCCTTTGTTCTGTGTTTATGCTAAACTAAGCTAGCTAGCTATATTCTTCAGATTTTTAATTATCATAGAATATACATCAATATTCTAATGCAGTTCTCAGGAAGCAGAGATGAAGATGCCATCACCAATTCCTTATTTAGAAAGCAACTATGCTGTTCAGACATTGTTACACACACCTCCTACCATCTTTGTTCACCTGCTCTGTCTCTTCTCTCTGTCGTTTCTCCCTATAGCTGACTGGCTAAAGGATCTACATCTGCATGTAAAGAGGGAGAATGTTGGACAAATTTTCACTGCAGTTTTTTTTCCCAACCTTTTGTATCATGTCTGGAATTTAAGAGGAAACTTCAAAAAGAATGCCTCATTTTGCAGATTTTGACCCAAAACAAAGGGTTAAAAATGTTATAGTCTAGTTTTGGTCTCAGTTGCTTCTTCATTTAGCATATCTCGCAATTTTTCTGTAAGTCTTCTTTCAGGGAATCTCTTTCTTATCCTTTGAGCTATACTGTAAATGCTTATCCATGAGCATGTAGCAAATTTGAACAATGATTACAGAGTCTGATTTTTATTTTTGTTTATTACACTGATTAATTAACTCAAGTCAAACTTGGGTTTTGGTGATCTGAAGAAAGACTTTGGGTAAATCTGATGAAATATTTGTGACTGCCTGGAGGGAAGCCATAAAACTTTCAGTTTTCAAACTTTTGATATGATTAACCAAGATAAATAAATCTTTAAAAAAATTATCAAACCAGGGCTTCTTGGCTTGTTAGGCAAATGTGCAAACCACCATGAAGCCACTATAATATTTAAAAAGTAAACATTCACAAATGTAAATACATTGCATGTGACAATATCACACTGGAGGATCATTATATTATGTCAACTTCCTGATCAGATCAGTCTATGTGGTGATCTGAGGTGTCCCACACTCTATGACCTGATCCCTCAGAGGCCAGGAGATACTGTACACTCAAACAGCAGGGATCAGTGATGAATTAGGACACAAGCACAAGCGGGTTGAAGGTTACAGTAGGAGGATAGTGTGTGTGGGCGGTAGGGTGGCTGTCTGGAGGGGGCTTGGGGTGACAACAGGGCAGAGGATGATGCAGGCTTATACTGCAGATAAGCCGTAAGAAAGCCAAGGTCAACACGTTTGACACACAAAAAGATGAGAACATGAGGCTTAAAAAAAAAAAGAGAGAATTTGTAGTTTTGTTACTGAAGAAGACAACGTCAATCATGAAGGCAAGCAGAATAAAATAGAAAATAAAATGGGACCAGTTAAGGTTTTAGTGGTAAAAAATATGTTGTAGGAGAGGGTTAAAATAATGCATCATCACATTTTAAATTTTGTTCTTTGCTAAATTGTCTGTTATGTGTAGAATTTGTTCCTGTTTCATCATTTGAATCTATGAAATGCCACAGATAACCACAATGCTTTTTCATCAAGGTTCTTAAAGAGCTATTAGACAAAATTTGGCAAATCTCAGTGCGGTGTGCAGTGTGTCTGAATAAAGTGAACGAGTGAAGGACAAAAGAAGAAGTGGCAGACCTAAAAAGTATCTACAACAGACGAACAGTATGTGAACGCCATATTCTTAAAAATAGGAAAATGTCCAGTAAAGACCTGACACAGGACCTGAGAGATACATCTAGCCCTTCAGTTGATCTGTCTGTGTGGAGGAGGTACACAGAGATACAACAGTGAGTGTCTACAGATGGAGGCTGTCATGGTTTGGGGCTGCATTTCAGCCAGTGGTGTTGGGTATACTGTCAAAATCAATGGAATAATGAATGTGGAAAAGTCCCATTAAAAATGTAAAACACATAAGAGCACTTAATGTCCTTCAATTTGCATGGAGAACTATTCCTGGAGAGGAAATACAAGAACGGTTCCCTAACAGAGTTCAGGATATGCTGAAGAATAAAGGTGGTCATACCAAATTTAGATTTTCAGGCTTGTTAGAATGATACAAAGTCAGTAAATTCCATAAATGTTTAAATGTTCAATAAATCAATAAATCCATTTCCAAAATTTAAAGAAATGAGAGGTGACTATAGACAGAAATTACACCAATGGAAAATCAGCAGGTTCCAGGAAATGTGTGAAATCCTGAGTGATTTTATCCTGAGTGCATTTCTGTGCAATTACGTGTCTGCATGGAGAAATAAAGCCTTAATGCCCGACTCTGGCTGGAATGCTGACACAGAAACAAAGACATGAACTACTGAGCTCTGATTACAGCGAACAGACAAGATCAATGTGCTTCAACAAAACATCAAAGTCCTGCCTGTAGCAATGTTATCCAACGATTAACACAATGAGGAACTTTCCAATTGGTCTACAGTTCAATGCATTGCCACAATGTGCAGTCTGTGAATGCACATTTAAGATTGTGGAGTTACCATCTGGACATCGAGCCCTCCAATCTGAGGAGCCTAAGCTGGAAAAGAGCTTTAAAATTGCTCTCTAAAAAAAACCCTCCATTCCACAATATTCTTCTCAATCCAATTTCTAAAACAACCTTTCATGCACTGCTTGTGTTTGTGTGTAGCGCAACTAATTCAATCCAAATATATCAAGTCAAAATCCAGTCAAATAATGAAAGGAACTTTGTCAGGATTTTTTTTCTTCTTAATGTCTTTTCTTAATATTGAGTCACCTATTACATTTTTTTTAAATGACAAAACTGATGAAATCCCTATTTGTGCTGTACTTGAGGGGAAAAAGAAAATCAATGGTTTGCTACTCTGATAGTTCATTTTAATATTCACCTCGAACTCACCTGCGAAATGTAAATTTAAGTCACCACATCTACGGCTAGCATTTAGCATTAATTTTCTGCATTCTGGGATTTTCTTTTCTTTTTTTAATGTTAACTATTCGGCTTTAGAGGTGGTCTGAAGAGTTAGCTCTGAGGGAGTGAAAACAGTGTGCCACGATAAATCCTACCACACTTATCGATACAGCTTAAAAACCTGTAAAAATAAAAAGGTAAAAGCACATCACAAGTATGCGACTTGCTTTTGCTTGCACTCCTCATTGCTGAAGCTTGAAATGTTCTTGTGACTGTCATATTCAATAATTACTTTTCAAGTCATTATATTCTACAAATTTACCATGGATAAGAAATATATCCATATATACATACTTGCTTAAACTAAATATATGACACAATGCTAATAACAAAAACAAAGCGCTGACTTAGAATCGAGACTAAGAAATATTTCTAAAAAGCTTGAGGAGAAACAAAAAGACTTCTACTTGAGTGATAATTTATTTAACTGAAAAATAATAAAATAATAATATTAAAAACAATTAACTCTTTATTATCTTTGCAAAAGTTTAAAATTGTCATTTGCTTTTCTGAGAATAGATCACGTTAACATAACAAAATTTTAACAAGCATCTTAGCAGTACTTTTAATTTCCAGCCACTTATCAAGACAACACTTTGTATTATGCCATTCCTCTTCTGACACATTTCCCTTAGGATTTAGATGAGTGTACTCTTTAATATCAATATTCTTTTGTTCTGGCCAACAGTGAAATGTGACCCTACTTAATAAAGTCATTTTTAGTCATTGTGATGAAGTTCTCATTTGTTTTGCTGGGGAGCAGACTAAGAGGTCAGTACTTACTTTTAGACCAAACAGCTCTGGGTTACTAAAGGCAAATACCTACTGCTTACCTTTCAAGCTTTTCTTTTCTGTCTGCTTTTACACTACAACTACAGTAAGACGTCTGAAGTGATATAATTCAGAGTATGTATCGATTCTTAATTTTATTCTCTTGTAATAGTTCTTTTCATCCTGTTCAGGTTCCCTCTGTATTTATCCACTGCCTGGTTGATACCTTGCAGTAAGTTAAGGGGGACTGTAGTGAATATTTTCATATTTCACTGAAACAAAAGTAAAGTTAATAAAGCCTGGGTATTCAAAGTGCTGTTGTTAAATTTATATTAAAGTAGACTAAAGTCTGGATCAGTCACATCATGCCTACATCACCCAAAGTCACAGTTATGTTAAGAAAAGACATAGGGCAGAAGCTAAAATGTCTTTAAAAACATAGCTATAGAATCTACGATAGTCCCAGTTATAGCAGAGAAAAGAGGTACGACCTCCAAAACTATCTAGAACTGTGACTTTAGCATTGTGGCGGCTGATCAATCAGTTAAAGGGCAAACACTCCAAAAATAGTGAAACTCAAAAAACTGAAAAGTTACTAAAAGTAAAATAAGTTGAGAATAAAAAGTCCTGTGATTTACAATGAGGTCAAATGAGCATTGATTTTGACACCTCACAGCAAAATGGTCAGCATGCACAAGCAGTGAATTAGCCAGCAGTCAGCGGGTTATGTTGCCTTTATTAATGTCATGGGACCTGCTTTCTCTCTGTCACTCTCTCGCTCCCTGTTTCCTTCCCCTCCCTTCATTTCCTGGCACAGCTCCTAACGGCTGTGCTCCATCAACTCATTACTCAGACAGATAAAATGTCTTTTTATGTGTTGCCGGTGAGCCACCGAGCTCCAAGCAGATCAACTTAGGAGCCCATTCCAATAAATGGGGAGAACTCTCTCAACTTCGCCATTACTTGAGACTAAAAATGACTACTCTTGCATGGAATGAAGTATTCTGACTGCGAACGACACAGCGCTGTCTGAGTGACAGATGGGAATGTATTGTCAGTCATTTCTGTCCTGCATGATAATGTGGAGGTTGAATGCTGCTGCTAATTGCCTAAAATGTAAATTGAATTTCAAATGAGCAGCAGACGTTAATAGCTACATCCATTTTAAAATAGGCTGGTAAGAAAATGTGGAATCGTTCCAAATGGCTTCTTTGACGCTGATACTTGGAAGTGCTTCAGCTGTCTAAAAGACAAATGAGAGAGAAATGAGACTCATACCTGATGCCTTTGATTTGTGCAATGCTGTGGTGGGAGATCCTCGACAGAGCGGAGATTACCTGAAATAAACAAAGACATGAAACGTTAGAACAAATAAACTACAAATTTCTTTCATCTTTGCTCTTATGTTTGAAGACCTCTAATGAACTAAACATTCAGTTACAGTTACGGTAACCACAAATTACAGTAACTGACTCAGGATGTCATCTTAAAAGGCTGTGATCACACTGAATACCAGAACACAACCAGTTTGTTGACTTGCCAGTAACCAGTTTTGTGTCCCTTAACCTTTGATTCCATGAAAATCAGCCATACGTCTCTGTGCTGCATGTAACAACTGTGTTACAACAAGCCTACTTAGTAATACGTTTCACTAAGTAGTAAACCATATTACTAAACACTGACTTATGGAGTGTCCTTGAGCACAACATATCTGAGATATGGGAACGTGTGGCCTACAGGCTCCTCGCTCCCTATTTTCCATAAGCATCTTCTCTTGAGCATTTGTAGAATGACTGTAACTCAGGGGCAGTGCAGGTCATCTGCTAACTGGAAGGTTGAGGTTTTGATCCCTGGCTTCTCCAGTCTACACACTGAAGTATCTTTAGACAAAATATTGAACCCCAAGTTTCTCTGTGACGTTCTCATCAGACTGTGAATGTGTAGCAATGCTAGATAGAAAATGGTAAAAGAGAAAGTGTTGGGTGATTGAGGCATGTTGTATAAAGCGCTTTGAGTATACAAGTAGAGTAGAAACGCACTATATAAGAACCAGTCCATTTACCATTTCAGTGGTGTCAGAGGAAAAGTTAGAACAGTGCTCCATATTTCAACTTTTGTTTTTGTGTTATGGCATTTTGTTGTGAAGCACTTTGAAATGTGCTTTACAGATAAAACTTTACTTATTTATTGAATTTAAACTATACCAGCTGGCTGTGAAATGCTTTGTTTTCATACCGCTACACCTTTACCCCCAATGTACAAGGCTGTATCCACCACTTTCTGTAAAACACAAGCATCACACACATTTACGGCAATCTTTTTTTCTTGCAATACATTCTGATATGCTACTAAGAATTCACCATTAAGACATCTTCATTGCATCTCTGCATAATACTGTCGAAAGCAGTCTTCTAACACTAAAGCAGCTCCAGGCGGCTTCATTATACTGTGTTCCATTTTTGTTTCTTGTTATGCACCACGTAATTATTCTAATAACAAATCAGAATTGAAAGACTTTATGATTTATCATATAAGCGATTGATCGTTTGTGTCCATTTCGATGGATTTTAACAGACAGGCTCCAGAAAGAAAAGAAAAAAATCAAAGGCAACAACAGAAAAAGAAAAGTAAAAGACACCAGAGGGGAAGAGCCACTCGCATTTACATCGTATATGCTGCAGTTAAACAAAACACACTCCTTGCAGCTCCTCTGTTCTTTGAGGGTGATTATCGAACATTACTTGAGCGTTTCTTAGCAACCCCTCTCATGCGTATGCAGCTCCACACAGGACTGTGTGTAAACATAATGCAGGCCACCATGTTAATAGTAACATTCAAAGACATGCGGTGCAGAGCCTCAGCTAGGTGGCTGGCAGCTTTTTTTTTAAAGCCTCCATACTTTAGCTTTTTAGTTTTAAACGCACAAATGTGTCTGTGCATGCATTTAAGTTGATTTGTTGCTGCTTATGAGTCACACGCAAGTGGGCTTACGCTAAGGACTGCAGATGGTGCGCTTGCAGGCCCTACAGAGGCTAGTTCAGGAAGATGAGGACCACCGCCCCAAAACACACGCACACACACAGACACACTCACACACAAAAAAACACAACCCCTGTCTCCTACGCCTCATTACCCACTCCTGGGTGTATTTCAGGTTGTAACACCGTGGCAATGCCAGATGTCTCCTCGACAGGGAGGACAAAATTGTTCCTTGGCAGGTGTGCCATCGACAGCGTCTCATCAAATTCCCTCTTCTCTAAACACACAATGTGGCACCTCAACGCCTTTAGTATTTAACATTCAACTTGAGCACATGTTAATGGCTGTTATGAAGCGAAGACCATCAATTTCGAGCTGTGGAGTGCTTGTGTTGAAGTGCTGTTGTCCACTCTCTCTATTCAAGGTGTTCTTGTCTTTAACATATTCAGTTACACGGAGTGCATATATGTCACATTCATTTACATCAAACCACTCTAGAGGGGGAATCCCTTTATTCAACCAGATAATAGGAGGTTATTTCTCTGAGCTGCTAAAGACCTGCGTAATGGAGTGTTTTGGCCGTGCTTAATGGTTTCAACACAGGGTCAGTCTAACATTATATACCTTCTTTACATATAGATTTGCAATTAAAGGAAATTAAAGGAAAGATACTGCAGTGTTAGGCCACCACATGCTGCCTGACCAGCTTCAATTCAAGTTGCTGTTGAATGTCTCCATCAGTCTGCTGACAGGCAGAATCATTGTTTTAAAAGATCCCTAATTTAGTATTTTAATCATGATGGTGGAGATGTCTTGCTTCTTTGCTGAAATTTTCACATTGATATTCAGCTTGTTAGAGATCTGGCCATTGTCTTTTTACTCATCTATACGGTGTTTTGGTGATTTTGCCAAGGTTGCATAATCAGAAACGAGTTGTTATGACTGCAGGACGCAAAGGGCAAAGCCTCAATTATTATGGCTGATTATCACCGAAAAGCCTAAAAATGGCATTCAGGACAGCATTAGTTTGTTTACAGGATAAAAGCGATTACTGAGAACAACTATGGATTGAGTTTTCAGAGACAAAGATAACAGTATGGCTTCTATAGTGTGAAGGTCCCCTTTATGAAGAGACTAAGGGATTATATTTTTGTTTTAACTTGACACCTATTTGTTTACTGTAAATAGAGATGGAGGCAAAAAAAGAAAAAGAGACAGATAAAGATGTGGAAAGAAGCAAGGGAGTAGATAGAAAAGATTACTATGTGTCTTTGTTTCAGGTGTCTGTGTTTAGGGTATTTAAGAAATCACTGAGGATAAACCCATTGTGCTGCTTGGTGGCATTTTGCCCACTTGGCAAAGCTGCAGGAAGGGAACGCATCTGGCAAACTGCCCCATCATCATTATTGAGGTTTTTTTTGGTTTTATGAGCCTACATATTCTTTGTTGAAGGGTGAGAGACAGATGACAAAACAAAGACAAAAATGTAAAATGCGAATGAAACAAGAGGATGAACGGGTGTACGCGCTTGGCATTTAATAGCAATTAATATTTCATGCTGCCTGCCGTGATCAGCTGCACTCAGATCTGGCTAAACACAGGTGCCTCGAGCCAGGTTTGCCCAGGTTCAAAGGATAGCAGAGCCACTGGCTTCGAGCCAGAGAGGTCACAGCAGGGCCAGAGCCCGTGTGGCCTGAGGAGAGTGTGTGCCAGCACTGAGCATGCTAGTGTGACTTTCACACATCACAGGGTAAAGTCTATTAATATTAAATCTCAAGTTTCCTCAACATGAGGAAGTTTGTTCTCTTTTCTTAGTTCATGTTGGCTTCACACATCATAATGCGAAAAATATGTTCTCAGTACTTGGAGCCATGGCAGCTCGTGACTCACGCTAGCTTTGGTAAGAAATGCTAATTTGCAATCTGTTTTCAGGGCAGCTGAAGGAATGAAAAACTGTTCTCATGTACTGCTTATAATGAGGATTACGCTTCTTATTAATCTATTTAACGTACAGTTATTGTTTCACTATTGATGTCAACACATCACAAAGCTGTAAGACTATAAAAGGAATACAAGGGATACTGAAAGGATAACTTCAGGGGAGCATCCCTTTAATAGCTGGTCTTTTTAAAAAACCCTTTCTTTTTCTTCTTCTCCTTCCTTTTTTTTAAGAAACAGACTTGTTTTATCTCTTTTATAAGGTTACTGCTTCCAGCCTTTGCTCAAAGGTTGCTTGTCAGTCTCTCTTACTTTCTTCTCTTTGCCCATGTTTCTGTTTTCCATTCTACCTCTAATACACTCTCTTCAGCCGCTTCTGATCCTTTAGTTCAGTCAAAGCCTTTGAGTCCACGCACATTATTAATTCCCCTCTCATCTTGTACTCCCCGGGGGATCCTAACTCTACTGCTCGCTAGAGAATAAAGCCTCTTCTGCCCCTCTAGGAATATGGAAAATACAAGTCACACGATGGAGTAATATTGCAGGTTTTTAAAGCCCCGAAACCATGATCTCACCTTTAATCAGCACCCCCAACAAGCCTCTGGCATTCCCTAACCCATGGGTGACCCTTATTGTCAGACAAGATGAATGCAATTGAGGATGCACGTTAAGTCTCACAGCCTCAACTTGTGCTCACGGTTTTCTGCGCATGACCGAAATGTAACGTTTATAGCCTGTTTACTGCATAGGAAGGTGCGTGTGTGTGTGTATGTGTGGAGGAGAGAGAAGGGAAGGATGGGGGAGAGGGGATAATGGTTGCATCTGTGGACCGACGGGGCGAAGCCAAGTGTTTGCAAACACACCGACCTTACATGTCTCCAGACTCGCCACATGTGGCCTGTGTCCCAGCTGGGCGCCAAGCGACACCGCATGCGACCACCCTGCAGCCAATCAAAAGACCTGCACAACACGGGTTCCCCCTGGCAACCGGGGCTCGACTAAATTTGCATGGTCATCAGTTACCGCACTGATCAAATCAAAACTGCAGCCATATGCTATTAACAGTGGGAGGGTGTGGCTGTGATTTGATTAAGATCTGAACACAAGAAGACAGTCCGTCACAAACACACGCACACCCCTTTGCCAATTATATTTAGATCTGATGAAGTTATGACATGATTATGTGTCTGTGAAAGTTCTGATTATACCTTCTGCTGCAAATCAGTGCAAGTATTGGAAGCTATCCAGCAAAGAGGAAGAATTAATTAAAAATTCAGGACATTACTTTTATTTTTCTCTTTTCTCTCACTGGGCTCCTGCTCAAACAGCTAACTCCCTAATAGTGTGATATATTTATGAAGGATTCACACTTTGATTGGACAGCATTGCTATGCTCATGCCAGTCTGCCTAAGTTGTAGG